TTTGGAGCACACTAGATAACTTTAAAACTAACATACTGATATGTGCGTTATACTGCTGGAAGTAGTCATTAGAAGATGAGTACACTGTGGTCATAAAGGGATGGACATGGTCAGAAACAATACTCAGGTAGGCAGGATGGATCCATGCTTTCATGTTGTTGATGTCAAATTCTGACCCGACCATCCGAATGTGTCAGCAGAAATGGAGACTCATCAGAGCAGGCAACGTTTCTCCAGTCTTCTATTGTCCAGTTTTGGTGAGTCTGTGTGAATTGTAGCCTCAGTTTCCTGTTCTTAGCTGACAGGAGCGGCACCCGGTGTGGTCTTCTGCTGCTGTAGCCCATTCGACTCAAGGTTGGACGTGTTGTGGGTTCAGAGATGCTCTTCTGCAGAGCTCGGTTGTAACGAGTGCTTATTTGAGTTACTGTTGTCTTTCCATCAGCTGGAACCAGTCTGGCCATTCTCCTCAGACCTCTGGCATCAAAAAGGCATTTGCGCCCACAGAACTGCCGCTCACTGGATATTTCCTCTTTTTCAGACCATTCTCTGTAAACCCTAGAGATGGTTGTGCGTGAAAACCCCAGTAGATCAGCAGTTTCTGAAACACTCAGACCACTCCGTCTGGCACCAACAACCATGCCATGTTCAAAGTCACTTAAATTCCCTTTCTTCCCCATTCTGATGCTCAGTTTAAACTGCAGCAGATCGTCTTGACCATGTCTGCATGCCTAAATGCATTGAGCTGCTGCCATGTTATTGGCTGATTAAAAACTTACGTTAACAAGCAGTTGGACTGGTGTACCTAATAAAGTGGCCAGTAAGATTATAATTAATTTGCATGATTTTAAAAACTGCAACAACAAAAAAATAAATTCTTTTATTTACTCAATATAATACAGTCATTCTATTGATTTGGAGCTCCTGGTCATGTGTGCTGATTCACATGCTTGCCCTTTCCACCAGAGGTCAACAGGAAGAGGAAATTTGATCACACGTTTCTGTTTGCTTAGCAGTTTTATAAATCTGCACTACAGGATTCTTCCATTTATCCAATGAAATATTTTTTCCTAATCCATGTGCCAAAGCTGTAATAAACCAGTGTTCATACTGGAAGACGCAACCTCACAGAAAACATATCAATCTACAACAACAGCAGAGATCTGTTATTAAGAGTTTTATTGCATTTTAGATCATCTTAACACACAGCAAAGAGGGAAATCTAAGTCATCAAGCCCCATTTGGAGTGTGCCAATGTTAAGTAACACTATTGCTCACATTTTAGGGTTAGTGCTTTAAGCAAACTAGTGAACACCCTAGCTTAAAACTAAATGCAAACAAAGCTGAACCACAAAATGACATGCTAAATAATACACTACGACTTAGCAGATGCACAGGCCTGGAAACCACCCACAACATCACTGCTTATAATAAATAACTCATTGTTTTTATGATAGAAAAACTGAAAAATTAGTCAAACCTGCTGTAAAACTGGGAATAAACCAGGAGATGATCAAGCTATAGACCAGGGGTCACCAAACTTGTTCCTGGAGGGCCGGTGTCCTACACATTTTAGCTCTAACTCTTATCAAACACAACTGAACAAGCTAATCAAGGCATTGGGTATACTTGAAACACCCAGCAGGTGTGTTGAGGCAAGTTGGAGCTAAACCTTGCAGGGACACTGGCCCTCCAGGACCGGGATTGGTGACCCCTGCTATAGACCATTTTAATGTGGTGATGTCATTGGCCCGTGAACATTTCCTGCTTGTTATCAAACTATTTCATAACTGTAACAATTGGCAATTTCATCACAACTTATTGTTAAAACAGCCATCATAACATTATTTATCAATATGTGGCTCTTTTCTGGATTCCTGGAAGCTGTAGAAATTAAAAATGTAAAACAGGAATTATGTTGGGACTATTGTTTTGGTGTACATCCATCAAAATGGTCTATAGCTGTTTAAAGTGGATTAACCAAAAGCCATTAAGCAACCAATCAATAACATGTGCAAAAACAAAAAACACATTTATTCAATCCAAAATAAGCTCCTAATAATAATAAATAATTTTTTTTACATTAAATATTCACATTTTTGCATAGAATACTGTTGATATTTGTCAAAAAACGTGGTTATATCCCAACGTTTGCTTTTCTCTTCAAAAAGGCTCTTGTATTTACCTAAATATTGAATAAGGTTTGTTTAAAATGAAACCATTTTTAATGTTTGTGTATGTATGTGTAACGGAGGCCAGCTAGTAGGTGCTGTGCAGGTAGACCTCACTCCTCTGACCTCAAAAGGTGCTCTAGCGACAGACGCTAGAGGTCATGGTCTTTAGCCTCCTTGTTAGAGCAACCGATTCCCATGCGGAAGGATGCTGGTTCGAAACCAGCTCGGAGAGGGTTGGGTGGCGTAGGACCGGCGGAGTTACATTGGTGCCGTGACCTGGATGGGAGTGAGGTTTAGGGGGATGAGTGTAATGGAGGCCAGCCAGTAGGTGCTGTGCAGGTAAACCTCACTCCTCTGACCTCTAAAGGTGCTTTAGCGACAGACACTAGAGGCCATGGTCTTTAGCCTCCTTGTAATGCTGTTCACACCAGACGCGGAACGCGCGGATAAATCGCGCTATTCGCGCGTAAATAGCCGCGTGAACATTTGAGTTTACTCGCTTCATTCGCGCGTCAAATTCACTTCAGAACAGACGCGGATTCGCGTGATGGGCAGGGCTTCTGTCTACCCGAAGACTCTAGCTTCATAGCTAAATGGCTAACATGGATTTTATGAAGGAAATAACAGTATTTATGTGCTTTATGAAGAAGGAAAAACAGCGTCGATACGTTTAGGGTCGTGTCTGAGTCCACTACATGCTTTCAAAGGTGCATCCAGCTCTGTGAGCTCATAAACTCCCCCAGAAACTGAACCTGGATGACGGAGGCTTTCAGCGGTGCTTCTGACTGAGCCAAGCCGAGTTTGATGAACTGTTGTCGGTGAAGGTTCTACGTCACAATCACGCCCCCACAAGAGCAAGCTTCTGATTGGTTAACGCGGCGCGAATGTACGCTGAAGTTCAGATTTTCGAACTTGAGATATTCGCGCGAAACACTCGTTAAGCGCGTCAATAGCGCAAAACGCTCAATTCGTCCCGCGCCATTCGCGCAATTTGCGTCATTCGTGCCGCACCATTCGCGCATATCGTGCCGCAGGATGTCTATTCGCGCGTTTGCATTAACTTAACATGTAAATCAATCACGCATGAGGCGTGTTCGCGTCCGGTGTGAACGCAGCATTAGAGCAACCGACTCCCATGCGGAAGGTCGCCAGTTCGAAACCAGCTTGGAGAGGGTTGGGTGGCGTAGGACAGGTGGGGTTACATATGTTAAGTTTGTAAAGACTACTTGTAAGGAGTATTTCACATGCTGTTATGGAAAAGAAAATCAGATGTAATAAAGTTTGTACATTGTATTGACATTTTTATATAGAATATTATTTATATTTACCCAAAAACGTGGGTTCTCTATTCTTTATTCTCTATTTAAAAAGAACACAGAACATACAGGGCAATAACATAACATCACATTGATATCAAAATGAATACAATACAAAAAGAAATATAAAAAAATTAAAGAAGATTAAAGACTTTAAAATAATTAACAGTTCTTTTTCCTTCTGTATTTTTAGTTTCTTTTATCGTACACAGATAATGACCTATTTCTATTTTAAAGTGAGTACAATTAGTTTTTGTTTCACTGCCTATTTACATTTATAAATAAAAAATCCATATATAATGAGCAAATTAACAATGAAGCAGATTTTAAAATCAACAACAATCTCATAAAACATAATCTTTTTCTTTAAATTCCAATTCGATATTCATACTCTGCTTAACAAAAAGAAAAGATCACACTTGCGTATAAATACAATCATAAAATAAATGAACAATACTCTCTTCCTTACAGAAAGGATATTTTAAATCAACATCTTTACAAAATTTTGCAAGTACCTGTTTTACCAATGCAATCTCATGGCAATGTGTAACTTTTTGATTTAGTGGCTAATTCGTATGAATTCGTAAAATCTAATTCTAATTCATACAATTTAGTACGATTTGCTCATCACCCAATGATGGTTGGGGTTAGGGAAGGGGTCAGGTGCCACCCCTCCTTTTTAAAATCATACATTTCCGTACGACTGAACTCGAATTCATTCGAATTAGCCACTAAACTGACAAATTGTAAAATACTTACGTTTCCTCATGAGATCAGGCTAGTTTTACAGGATAAGTACAATGAACTATTTTAAAGGATACCTCTCTAACTTTATTTGTTATACAAAAATATCTGGAGATCTTAAAAGTCTCCTTCCAGTTGACATCTTGAATTTGTGATCTCCAAATAACCAGAGGCTGAAGGAACATCCGGCAAATCATTCTAACATAATTATTCTTACATTTTTTCTTCTATATTTATACCTTCCAATTTAAAACTAAAATCTACATTTGTATTTTGAGCCATGTCATTTTCTAATAGTTTCTTAAGCTCTGAGGGAATAACATTAGTTTCCATCATATACTCTTTGACAGGTATATAAAGGGAACATTTTCCTAGAAACTCCAAATAGGTATGCACATGACCATTAATATTTAAAAGTTGTAAAACCAGCAAAATATCATTTTTAAACCAATTATTTAAAAAAAGAGATATAATTTTTAAGCCAATTATTTAAAAAAGAGATTTATTTTGGTGTGTATGTCTATTATTACAAAATAAGTATTAATATTGTGTTTGTATATAATCATCCATGGTAACAATGCCTGCTTGTGAAAATTAGAAAGCTTTATGGGAAGCTTACTAATATTAAAATTGCTTATACAAAAAGCCTTGTATTTGGTATTTACCTAAAACTCTATAGACTGTCAATCATTTCGGATGAGAGGCGGGGCAAAAGTTTCCATTTAAGGAAAAGGCGGCTTTGGTGACGTCATCCAGTAGCCAGCCAGCGCCCCTTGAGCTGGAGGAGAAGAAGCGCGCGCCTCCGCGGCTGAGGATGATGACGTCGAGTTCAACTAAACCACATTTAAAAAACAAAACAACCGTGGGAAAACGTAGAGACGAAACTAATTTTATTCACCAACATTAATTCATTCGCGTAGCGGCTGAGAGTGAGCAGCAGAATCTCTCTTGGCAGCTGATGCTGATTTAGAGGGCGTTTTTTAGAGTGAGTGAGTGAACGAGCGAGAGAGAGAGAGAGGGGGGGCGGGTGTCTCTCTCCCTCGCGCAGGCTCACACACACACACTCACATGTAATCAACACACGGACGGTTTACTTCCACATTTACCGCTTATTTTCGGGATTTTCTGGATAAACAACACTGTAATCGATGCGAGGCCTTCAAACGGACACTCACCGCTGATTCCACGGCCGCGTTTCTTCAGATTTCGTCGTTTTTCGCCCTCGGTGGAGCGTTCGTGCGTTCGTTGGAGTCGTTATGAATTCCAGCCCGCTTCCAAACGGCAGACTCCTACCGGACAGCCAGAGCTGGAACTCCTCCGGTTCCGACGAGGATCTAGACGCCGATCCGGGACCCGGACCGCACGGTGGGGTGGCGGAATTCAGCGGGGTGCTCAGCAAGGTGGGTTCAGCTCTCGAGCATCGCCTCCCAAACCAGAAAAGCCAATGTTTTTAGTGTGTGTTTCCACCTGATCCGATGTAAACAAACGTCAGTCAGTTGGCCGAATGTCACGGAGAAGGTCTGAAAAGATACTATAATAAAAAAGTGAAGGAGGATCGCTGTGTTTGATTAACATGGCGACATTTTCACGACGATTACACATGTGTGTACCTGTTTCACATTACAGTATCATGCACCATGTTTTACTTCAGATCCGTTGCTCAGTGGTGACTCTCATTATGCTCTCATTACTGCCCAACCACATCGGTTTCACAATTAAATTATGCACATGTCAAAAACAGGGCATCAATACTTAACAATTTGAATAGATTATTGTTTTCTCGTATTATAACAGGTTTGTTTATTCATTTATTTTATGCCTCAAGGTTCTTTTAGTCAGTATTTATATATATATATATATATATATATATATATATATATATATATATATATATATATATATATATATATATATATATATATATATATATATATACCTACAGATAGAAATACAGATATAAACAAAAACATAAATTAAATCCATGCACAACTCAAAAATAACAACTATGATGCATCACATGTTGAGCAAGTACATGAATGAAGAAAGAAAAATTTATAGTATTTTGCCATCACCACACTTGAATGTTGTTTAAATTGAAGTTACCATAGAACTGTAAGTTCAAGTTTATCCACATTGCCACAAATGTACATTGGTTGAAATGTCCTTTGATTGTTAACTGAGTTCTTATTCATTGTACTGTATAAAATTAATATTTTAAAGGGGATTGGAATTGCATTTCGATAGGAATGTTTTTAG